ATTTACTGTAGCTGTATCTTGCGTGTTAGCAAAAACCATCATTGTGATTTTAGCTTTCATGGCCACCAAACCAAAGTCTAGGATGAGGAAGTGGGTGGGGAAAAGATTGGCCATTTCCATCATAGTGTTCTGCTCCTTCATTCAAGTAGTTCTTTGCACCATCTGGCTGTTGACCTTTCCTCCATTCCCCAATTTCAACATGCACTTAATGGCAGAAAAAATTGTTCTGGAATGCAATGAAGGCTCCTTTGTGATGTTCTACTGTGTCCTGGGCTTTATGGGCCTCCTAGCCCTTGTCAGCTTTACTGTAGCTTTCTTTGCCCGCAAACTACCTGACACTTTTAATGAAGCCAAATTCATCACCTTCAGCATGTTGATCTTTTGCAGCGTTTGGCTCTCCTTTGTTCCGAGCTATCTGACCACAGGGGGCAAACATATGGTGGCTGTGGAGATCTTCTCCATCATAACATCCAGTGGGGGGCTCCTCATATGCATCTTTTTCCCTAAATGCTATATCATCATATTGAGGCCTGAATTGAATAGCAAACAGCAATTAAGACAAAGGAAAAACTGAAAGATGTAGAACCATATTCTGTCTTTTAATTTAGCCATGTAAAAGCAGTAAGACCCAAAACTGAAGACTGCTTTGCCATGTTTGCCAGATGCAAATTTTCCAGCTGATTTTGGAATTGGAAAGCTGGTTCTGTTTTTAATGTTTTATTTTTTATGACAGCCTCCACCCAGAATTGTATAGAGAATTTCCTTAAAATTATATAAAATAAAAATAAATGAATAAATATTAAAATATGTACTATTCCATTATTTACATGCTAAGCATAGACTCCTGAATGGTGAGAAATGCACTGTAATCTTCCCTTTATCCCATTTTGATTTTCTGTGATTAATAGTCTTCTGAGTTTAATTTTGGTCAATGCTTCTCTCACATAGTCAATCCATTTATAAGTCTTTGAACATACCAGACTTCTCATACTTGAAGATTCATTCTGAGATTTCCAAATTAGGGCTGCAATTTCTTCCACTGTCATGGATATTTTCAGGAAAAGGAAAGGGGTAGGGAAGTTTCCTCAGAGTTTGTTTATATGTTTTTAGTTTTTGATTACAGAAAGAAGAAAGAAATACATAAAAGTGGTTTAATAAACAAATGAACAAAACCACAACAAAGAGAAAAGAAGAGTTAATATATTTATCTTTCCAATGCTGCAATATCAGGTTTTTGGTCATAGGAAGACCACGGAGAATCCACTTATGTTGTCCACATGTCAACTTCCATGTATTAGTTACATAGTTCAAAAGAAAATTACCCTCTGAAAATTTTACCTTTTGTCACACGTTCATATTTATATAGTCCACGACTTTCTCCCAAAGCTTGGCAATTATAGGACATTGTACAAACATATATTTTAAAGAGTCATTGTCCTTATTACATCTCCAACAAAATGCTGTTTTTGACAATTAATTTCTATACAGATCTAGTGGAGTCCAATAAATTCTAAAGATTATTTTTTGCCATATAAGTCATTGTTGAAGGTCACTTGACACTCTTGCTATAGAAGTTAAGACACTGTCCCATTGTCTAGGCAATATCAAAACCTTTAATTCTTTCTTCCACTCATTCCTTAACATCTGCATATCAGATTGGTTTATTTATAACAAATATCTGTAAAAAATAATAGTAGTTTTTTTAGTTTTAAGGATTCAACAAGTTGTCCTAATATCTGGTGTTTGCAATGGAGGTTCCTCTCCTCTCCTCTCCTCTCCTCTCCTCTCCTCTCCACACTTCAGAGGGGTAGAGAGATGCTTTAAGGAATTCCCTTCAGGTCCATGTGAGTGCCTGAAGCAGCCTGTGTTGTGGCCGAGTCTGACCATGAGAGTTGATACCCTGTATTGACTTGGTTTTATGTACCAACAGCATTTTAGCCACATTAAGTCAGCTTCCTCTGAAAGCTCTTGTTTAACTAAGTCAAAACACTGAGCTTCTACCTACTTCAGGCAACCTTCATTGCTGATGGCCTTTAGGAAGTTGCTGAAATGTAGGCATTCATTTATTTATGTATATTTTAAATGTATCACTGTCCATCACAGTGCAGGGCAACTCTGGATGGTTTACAGTAACAAGAATAAATATGAATGAAAATAGAATGATTATTAATTAAAATACATTCAAATAAAACAATTTCAATATAAAAATAAACAGCTTACAAGGAACTGATGTTAATTAGAAGTTGTTAGACTCAGGGAGCATCTTCAGGGTGCCAACCACCCCCAGGGTTGTCTATTTCACTTCTCTGCCTAAAGAAGTGGCAGAGCCCAGACTTCACACCTTTCCAGAAGGCAGGGAGAGTGGGGGCCCACTTCACCTCTGGGTGAAGAGTGTTCCATAGGGCGGGGGCAATGGCAGAGAAGTCTCTCCTCCTGGGCCCTCCTAGTCACCATTCCTTTGTAAATGGGGTCTGTAACTTACAGTAACTTCTCTGCCTGACCCGGTAGGACAGGTTGATGTAATGGTCGATGTAATTTACATGATAAGATGATATCCTCAGAGGCTCTTGCTGAATTGCTGTGGTTATTGTTTCTGTGCTTTGTGCATTTTGGTATGTTTAAGGATTTTGTTGTTGTTGTTGTTGTTGTTGTTGTTCTAATTTATTGAATGGGCCGAGAATGAGGGGAAAAGCAAGAAAGCTCTGGTTGATCTATATGAGACCTTGATTTGTGTCACATTCTATCAATCTTTTCCTCATGTAAAAGGAAAAGAAGCTGTGTTTACTTACAAGACAACTTGTCAACCCTTCATGATTTCTCAAAAGTTTAACCTGGTGCAAGGTATTTATCCTAATTTTTGGATCCATATTGGATACCTTGAATTTGTTCCCTTTTTTCAACACTGTATGACTATATAAAGCTTTCTTCACATGGTTGTATTATTACATCACTTCTGACTCTTTTTTTTAACTTGGGAGTATTAAGTATTACCAAGTAAATCTACCTCCATAAATCATTAATCAGTATATTGTTTCCCTGCCACATATTTTAGTCCTTCACAAATGCGAAAAGACCAAAAAAAAAAAATCACTAGAACTATTCCAGAGCTCACATCTAGTCAGTTAAACATTGGTAACATGATCCTGTATTATCCAAGCATGTGTTTTGACCCTACCTGGTTCAACCTACTTGGCCAAATGATGGCTTCCCCATAGATCATTAACATGTCCTGTTGGGAAGTCACAGACCCTATTCCACCAACTTTGATTTTGAAAAAGGACTGGTTTGGGAATGTGACCAAACATTCTAGTTCTCCATTTTGGTTGAAAGGTTGTGTTTCTCCTGCAGTGTTATTGAATGAGATGCTTCTTACAATTTCATTCATCTACAAAGCACGAACAAAGACACACACACAGTGAGACCAAAGCAAAAAATAAAGAATGAAGGGAAGAAACAAACAATCCATGAGAATCTGTAAAGTGGTGAAGATTTATCTCCACTTCAGGAATAAGGGAAATAAACTTTTTTATATGTTCCTTATATGTTAATGGAGGAGACAAACACTGTCTACCATCCTGTTGTAAGTTCTCAGAGACATTGAAACTTACTTGAATATAATAATCTGATTCTGGGAAAGAAGTAGGAGAGGGATTTTTTTATTTGCAGAGATTGAGAATCTTTATTTGAGAGTTCAGGGAAGGAAGTTCAACTCACTAAGGAGCTTACAGGAGGAGAGTAGTTCAGACAGAGAAGATGGCTAGCAAGCAAATTTCATTTTAGATAGCTTCAGACAGCTGAAGAAAGTTCCTCCATGACAAGAGTTCCCCAAAGAGGACAAAGGAGGGAAGAAGACAGCCTGGTATGGGATCAAGGACTCTCCCTTCACTATTATAAATACAAATATTGCAAATAATTTCCACTTTCCTGGCATTATTTTTTCTTTTTTCCATCCTTGCTGTTTTTAGGGTTGCTATTACCCATTCAAACTCCCATTATTGCTCAGTATCAATCAGAGACAATTTCTTCTGAGACATGACAAACAAAATACCCCTTCTTGTTCAAGGTTTCCTAAGTCCTGGGATTCTAAGGTGGCAATTATCTCAAATACATTACTTAGTAATTTAATAATTAGTATAACCTTAATTGTCCACCTCAACCGGATTGAGAACTGTTCATACTTCCCGCACCATTGCCACCTGCAATTAAAGTTAGCCAGTGCTTGACCACATATGATTTTTATCTCAAAGTCTCACCTTCCTGACCTCTACACACACACACACACACACACACACACACAAACCAAGTAGTTCTTTGGGTCTTAAACTCAGAATCCATAAGGAAAGGTAAGGTGGAGAAAGGTGATATCACTTCAAGAATGAATTGTTTCTTTCTGGGTGGTGTGTCCACAGCATTCCTGTCAATGCTTTGGCCTCTGATAATGTGTAACGTTTCTCACAGTAAATGCAGCACTGCTGATCCTCTGCCTATTCTTCACAAGCAATACCAGTCAGGGGACATCAACATTGCTGGCATCATTTCTCAGATCTACCTGTTTTATATGATGATGGACTTCAAGACGCCTCCTTCTAGCAACCTTTTTGGGGATATTATGTAAGTATTCAGTCATGCCAGGGTCATACATGCAAAATATACCTGAAGGTGAGCGAGAGTAAGAGCATTGTTTGAATTGTGTTACATGTATTGTAAGCTAACTTGTGTGTGGATGTCGAGAATAGTGTGTGCTATTTTGAGGGTATAAAATAATTGCTGGTTGTGTT